CATGCAAATCTATTACCGACAATAAACTTGTATCTCTTCTTAAACCTAAATCGTAACACATCCAACAATGAACACGAACTACTCTGTTAAGACCTTCTGATATGTCACATGACCTACTATGGGAGAGTACACAGCAATAATCAGTGATATAAAGAATTAGTTTTAGAATGTGAATGCTCCATTTAATAATATCTTGAGTTTGTGAAGTTGCTGCATGGATTTCTGGATATAGTTCTTCGGAAATATTTCCCCATTTCTTCACAAATAAGTTTCCCAGCTCATATTGGATAAATAAGTTTTAAGAATGTAACTTTTGGTTGGACCAAACCAAAGACTTTTATATTTATAAAATATTTATAGTAGGGAAATATTGCGTTGTAAGTATTCAAAATATTTTTCTCTTACCGAATAGTGTTTTTAATATGATAAGACAGAATTAAAACAACATTGTTATCAAGAACCATTTCAATAATATTATGTTAATAATTATCTTCCAGTCATTAAATTACATCATATTCTGGTCAACTGTTAACTAAAACTCACGTAATTCAAATCATGTCCACATCTTTGCATTTATATTTTTCATTAGCTACCAAAGGTACTCTGAAGTGTTGAGCTTATAACCTGATGCTATAAATCGGGGCATAGACCACGCCCTTCCTCTATTTTGAACTGTAGCACACGAACCAGCCGTTCATTGTAAATGCGTTGGCTTCGAATATTTTGCTACCGACTTTCTTCCTCAGTTGGTTCCTCCTTCTTGACATTAAGACGATAAAATTGAAATGGCTGCAAAATTCTGGCAGGAGACAATCGGAAAGACGGAGAATTCTGCTTTATATATAAAGAGAAAAAAAATTAAGAACGATTTTTAAATCCAGCAACATGTTATCTCATGTTAAAATGAATATAAAACAAGAAAAAGGAAAAATTTATACCACATGAATTAATATCATTAATGTATTCTAACCTATTTTATTTTGGTAACTCCAGTGACGATAATGATGACAAACCAGACTTAGAGAAACACGCCAGTGTGTTAACAGATTTTAATGTTTTGAATTCATGCTACATAATTTTTTCCCACTTTTTTCTTGTTTTATATTAACATATACTATATACACACTTACGTAAACAGTATGCTCTGTTACAAATATTTACTTACAGGATACAGAGTTTATTTACTGTTCAGTCTCTTCCTGTTTCCTTTAACCCGCTTTCAGATTCTTGGCGAAAGTGCCAACTCACTTTAAATATTTTTTTTGTTTTTTGTCTTAGTCTAGTCTGCAGTGCCCAAAATAAAATAAAATGAAAGTAACTACTTCGTTTACATTACAACCACTAGATAGCACCGCAGTCGAAATCAGTGCGGGAACTGTTCTAGGACTTGATTTTCTTACTTAATGAATGTTTGGTAACAGAGCTAAAAATGTTAGTATTTTTACATAAAATATTTTTCCAAAAGTAGTTCATCGGAAGATATCTAAAACTTATTACCACATTTCATGTGGTTTGTTTCAAAGTAACGCCACACAAAAACTAATCGGATTTTAGCGTTGTAAATCAGTAAACTTCATATGAAATACTGTATACATAAAAATGTTGCTTTTAGATCTAATCTTCACATAGAAAGACCTAATCTTTTAGATCTAATCTTCACCTAAGCATTAATACATCTGATTAGTAATAAGAAACATTTAACTAAAAAAGCGATTTGTTTGACTGGTTTTCGTGTGTTTCAAAATTGTTATTGTTAAATTAAACGTCTTTTCATATGTAAACACATGTTTTCTTCATATTTAATATGTGTATCATAAATAGGCTCCAAACATATTCCACAAATTAATATGCGATGATGATAAGTAAATGTAGCTGTTTTATATATATGACCTATCTGGTGATGAATCAACTGATCTTAAAAAGTAAAGCCATAAATGGTCTTTGAACCGTCCATTTCCACTACTTCGAGCAGTCACACACGAACCATTCGTCCGATGCAAAAGTACTGCTGGTTACGTCGTTAAACGTCATTTCTGTTTGGTATCGACTACATTCATTCTGATACTAACTTCCTTGCTCAAATGATGATCCTTCATTCCCGGCAGCAGTATGAGATGCTCGCAAGGAAAGAAAACATGAATTTCATCCAATTTCGACAAGCTCGTATTGAGGTTTTGCAGACACGTGATCAAAATCACGTGATGCATCCTTGTCCACCATTTTGGACGTCACGCAAGAGTCTATAGTACCCTGATATACCAAGTGTGAGATAAACTCAGCAGAGTTGAAACTGCGATAATTACGTCTTACATTATCTGAGGATGTTAAGCATTTGCAGGAAGAACATCAACTGGAGAAGCTGAAGCTAGCGGGCTTGCAAAGTGACCCGTACGTATTGCCAGACGGATATTTTCCGATGTTGTGAGAGGCGCAGTCGCATCACTAAAAGAATTTTTCTCTGCTCGTCTCTTTTGGAGTGATTTGATGCGAGAAAATACAGTAGGAATATAGTCAGGGAAGAGTGGGTGATCACTATTGGCACCTGAAAATTTAATCAATAGAATTATATGTATTAGCAGCCTGAGGCTTTTAATATTATGATGGAAAAAATAATTATTCATGAAGAACTGAATTAAAGTGAAACTATTTCTGATCTGTTTGGCTCGTATGGTCAAATTTCCAGACTTTCAGGAAAACTGTAACATTGAAATGTCATTTAGATACTGTTGAAAAAAGTATAATGTGATGGACTGATATAGTTTATTGTATGCCAGATATAATCATATATGCAAATATATGAAAATATTACTCAAATATCACACTGAAATGATTATGGGACATTATGTTTGAGCCATGTTTGTTGTGTTTTGTATGTTATTTTGGGCGATAATGTAGGCCAATACTGTCATGTTATCAAAACTTTACCTGGCTTTTGGGCTGGATGATCATTTACATTTTTATCCCGTAGTATAAAAGGATACATTTATCTGATATGTATTTATATACTATTGAAAAATTAGCATTCATCCATGCTATAAAATGTTCGTTACACAGACGGCTGTTGACCGATGGTTCCCAGTCTTTCCGATTAACAACTGAAATCCATCGATACCGTCGCTCTTTTCTTTTGGAAAACGAAAGAAAGCAAGGCTGGAGTTTTGTCCCTGTCTATTGTTACATTCAATAGCACAACAAGCAATAACCATGATAATACCTGATGAAGCCAAGACATTGAGTCATTTAAGATAAGTAAAGTTAAGTCCACACTGCTAAGCCTGGAGTAAATACGTGGTAGCTTGATGTCCACAATGGCCAAGACTCTGCGATTTCTCAGCTCCTGATGTCACGTGCAAAACCTTAATAACGTGCCGTGGGTATTGACCTAGGCGATATAATGGCAGTAAATGGGTTGCTATGTTCATGTTGCTAAATGGATAATAGGATTACATCATCTACTCTAGGTGGCATGAAAATGCATAAGACTAAGTAACTGTATTCTGTCTGACACTGGCTTGTATCAACTTTGATTGGTTTTATAATAAACAAATTGGGTTTACGTATCAGTTATATTTCTTGTTTAATATATCTTACTTCTGTTTTTAGTAAAGTTTTGTAAGATATCTGAACATCTCTTTATATAAATATAAAACAAATTTTTCTATTTCTTTGTTTCTTAAATTTCCATAAGCTGGTTTGAAAAAGATCGAATTCAAATGGATAAGCGATCGTACTAAAGGTTCTGTGTTTGGAAGCCAAATAGGTATTAACTGATTCTAAGTTAATCCATTTATCATAAGGTAATACTTCCAATAAGTTTGGACTTTCAATCTGATTTTTACGATCATTTTGAACATTTCTTTCTTTTCCAGAACATATTTAAAAAAAAAAACACCTCACCTTTCGAATTACACTTGGACACGTCTTCCACGTTGAGTATAAAAATTGTGAACTAAACGTGTGAGCATTCAAACTTCTATTCAGAAAAGTAACCTAAAACATCCCTGTGATGTAAAAAAAAACTATGTCCAACAGAATTGAACTAAAACTAAGAACTGAGAGTGAAAACAACTAGCCTACTTTATGTTACCTGTACAAGGTAACTCTAAATAAGACTGTTGTGATTTTACTTTAGTGCATTATTTCATTAGTACTTCTAATGAAACAGTCACAACAATGAAATCACAACAGTTTTATTTAGAATTTGTGATTTTACTAATGTACATTTTTGAGTAGTTGTACTCCTAATGAAACTTACCACTGGGAATTTGATCATGACGAACGAGGCACTCCAGAAAGGAAAGTTAGAGATTTCCAAGATGTTTACGTAACTAGGTAGGGACTTGTTGACATATGTGCAGAAAAACAAGACTTGTATGAAAATTTATTTAATTTTGACAATCCAAATATATATAATTCATACATATTTCAGTTTGTGTTATTTGAAAATATCAAATTTTACCGAATTGTCAACTTGGCAGAAAATATTTACCCCTCAGGTAAATTTGAAGAACACAGCTCAAATTGTAAGACGATGAACAATACTGTTATTTCTTTACATGTCTAAACCATTACATTTTCGAAATGTTAGACTCTTGTGTAGATCTTGGTGAGTTATATTTGTAAATTTGTATTTAAATGACAAATATGTAGTAACTTAGTAGAAACTAAGAAGTAGAAAATAATAGCCTATGGTACCATAATGAGATTTTCAACGTTGTATAAAACACATGCCATTTTTCTATATTTTAGGTCATACCTATACAACTGTGATTAAATGAATTTCCAATAAATGCTAGAGAGGTTACTGCAAGTAAAAACGAAAATGGAAATATATTACATCGAAATGAATTGACATATTAATACTAACGTCTATGATTTTGAAACCGTTTTAGCACATTTTGCTGAAGCTCAATATTTCTATGTGAATCACCATTTAAAAAGAAAGTTACAGCTGGTAATACCACCTATGAAATACCACGTTATATGTGTTACAAAGAACGATGGTATATTCAGTTTGCAATGAGTCAAATATTTTACCTTATGATGAATGGATTAAGTTAGAATCAGTTATTACCTATAGTACTACTTATAATGAAACTTACCACTGGGAATGTGTTCATGGCGAGAGAGGTATTCTAGAGTGGAAAGTTAGAGATTTTCATGCTGTTTATGCAACAAGAAGGCACTTGGAAACATAGTATGAAGAATAATAATAAATGTTTTTGAAATTGAAGATTTTTTCAAAGTGATTTACATTATACAGAATATAGTAATCTTCTTGTATCATAATAATATTGTTTGTAGATCATGTGATGAAACAAAACAAATCTCATTAAAATATTTTATTCATCATACTGATATAAAATACAATTACTTAGTCATATACATTTTCACGCCCCCTGGAGCAGATGACGTAATTCTGTTATCCACCTTGCAATGTGAAAATAGCAACACACCTACTGCCATTATCCTATTATATCGCCTAGCAACACGCCTCCTGGTGTATGAGTATGAATGAGATACTTATTAGGTCAATACCCTCGGCACGTTATACAAGCTTTTCGAAACTGGGTGAAGGTCATATTTGTTTAATTCCGCCGTTGGAGTGCCATCTCATACTACTTACGACATTAAGGTTGTAGAATTGAAGTAAGTACGATCGCTTATCCATTTGAATTCGATCTTTGGAGTACCTATTTGAGTTCCTCTATTAAATCTAATCCAACTTCGTTTTTCCCTTCCTCAAAACAGCTTATGGAAATTAAAGAAACAAACAAATGGACAAATCTGTTTTATATTTATGTAAAGAGATGTTCAGATATCTTACAAAACTTTACTAAAAACAGAAGTAAGATATATTAAACAAGCTAAAAACAGAAGTAAGATATGTTAAACAAGAAAGACAACTGATACGTACACACAATTTGTTTATTATAAAACCAATCAAATCAATCTTTTTATAAGAAAAATCACAAACAGGTTTGGTTCTTAATGTTTAATAAGGTAATTAGGGGCTCATTAGCTTAATAACCCAATTATATTTTTATTATATTTTATAATATACATGAACAAGCAACTGCTAGCTATCAAATGTTTTCTAACAGCTTAAATATAAATATATAAATAAAACATCTGTCGATATGCTACAGAAGGCCTACTATTCAACAGAAAAACTACATTTACTTTCATTACCAGCCTCGATTTGTTTTATTATTTCGTGTTGTTGTTATTCTATCATATATTTTAATGATATGTGACAAATGGGCAAAAGAGTCATGTCAAAAGAACCTTAAGATTCATACATAATCACCTCTGATTTATATTTGTTACGCGGATATTTAATGGAATTAACTGTCACAGCTGAAGATGCAGATCGGCTTCAGCAGTATATCGGGGTTCAAACCTTGCCCCTTCTTCCTATTGTGTATGGTACTTTACGCCCCTCATCCATATCCAAATCTACGTCATATATTGGTTAAAAAAAACTCCAATGTGACATTATCACTAAATATTAAGCACTATAATTCACCACAGGTTGAAACAGACATGCATGTAAATATTCAGTAATTTGTCTTCGTGAGCCTTCTCTTCGCTTTCCCTTGCATTAATACTGTGTCTCTACTTAGAGAACTGTGTACTAGGACACACCCAGTCTACTGTTAAGACAACACTAAAATCAAGATGCAGTAGTACTTTAGTGTATTTAAAATATATGGTCTTTGAAGTTTAAAATGTTTTTTCTTTCTTGCCTTCCAGAGACCTTCTAGCTCTGCTTATAACAACTATAGCAGCAATCGTGCCGGAAAAAGTAAGGTAAGTTGGGAATAAAGGTTAATTCAGAGATGATCAAGAAATTAATGCAATTAAAAAGTCATCTAAAATCATAATTATAAATTGTTTTATAAAAATAAGTAAAATCCATGAATTGATAAGCTTCTCAATACCTATTTATTTTATGAGATGCATAACATTTCCATCAGCAAATATGCTTCAAACGACTTTTACTTAAATACTCGTTTATAAGATTTTCAACTAAATAAATTTGAGGGAAACCAAAAATCCAGATATCTCAATAAAACTGTAGGCTTTGAAAATTTGATAATACCTGTTTGTATATATTATAGGCTTCCTTGATTTAACTTCTAATTTGATTAGAACGATGCCTTATATTAAAAAACAAACAAACAAACAAAATTTTCAACTTTATCATTATCTCAACTTTACGCAAGATTGGTTTCGACTGTGGACCTTTGACGTGTCATAATAAACATAGTAATTGATGGTTCTCCGTTATCATAACTATATAAAAGTGACAGTTGAATGTTGTGTTTCTTTTTCAGATTCCAACGTATAGTACGCTCAGCGGATCAAGAATTTCAACACCTTCAGCTGTCTATTCTCGCTATGGACAATCAAGGGATTCACATTCCTCACGTGACAAAGGAAGCTATAGTGGTCGCAGTCGTGGCTCCAGCTACATTTCTGATTGCGGGAACTCAAACAATGCAACTGATTATAACTATGGTTCTGGTTTTGTATCTGATTACAAACCCGGTTACACCTTAGACTACAATAAGTCAGGTTGCATTTCAGATTATGGACGCTCAAACTATGGTAAAACAAGATATCCATCTGACTCAGGTAAAGCAAGTTACTTTAGTTCTGGTGAGTCATACAGTCTATGTGGAAACGCAAGTGACAGATATCTTCCTACGGCATCACCAAGGTTTACTTATGGTTCTCATTGTCGAAACACAAGCAGGGAAGAAACTAACTCTGGTAAGAATACATACTCTAAAAGCACTAGCAGAAATGATACAGGGGGTATTAAATCGTATAATACCTACACACGGTCTCATAGTCATGAATACCCATTGTCTACTTACACCAGATCAAACAACAAAGCTGAATCACAACCAAACTATTCTCGAATAAACAGTAAAGCTAACTTAAGAACAAATTATTGTAGAAGTGCTATTAACGAGAATATTTCTGACCCAAGGCAGAGTAGGAGAGACCTGAATCCAAATCTTTCAACGATAAACGAAGACGTACCACGCACTTGCAGAAAAACTAAACAACCTCCTTTAGCCAAATCAATTAAAAGTGCAAAGGTTCTTGCAGATCCTATGTCAGATTCTGAAGTGGAAGAAAAATCTGCATCTGATGAAGAAGAATTTGTGCATTGCCGAGCTACATCGCCATCTGTTGAAGCGAAATCCAGTGGAAACCATTCGAACATTATATCTGCTCCAATGAAAATGAAAAAATCGGTAGTTGGAAAGCATGCTTCCGTAAAAATGATGTCGGTTGGGCAACAGGTTAGGGCAGAAGACTTACTTGATTCACTCTCTCGTTCTAATAACACTAACTGTCGCTACACATCCTCCGCAACTAGAGCGACACCTCTGTATTTTGATAAGTACTACAACAAGTATGCTATGCCTTCCTATCGTTCCTGTAGGCCTTCAACTATCAATACGTCATTAGACCATTCACTACGAAATTTAAAACAAGAAAAAACTGATACTTTTTCTACGTCGTCTAATAAACTTGAAATAACTCCAAGCCTAACGCAAAGAAACTTGTCAAATGTTGAAAAAGATACCCCCTTCTCATCTGTGATATCAGCGAAAGATAAAAATTTACAAGAGAGACAAGATTCAAAGGAACATGACAGGAACAAAAACTTTATAAGTTCGGATATAAACGTAAATGATGACAGCAATTATGAAATTCAAGACGATAATCACCAACAAGAGGAAAAACACAAATGTTCATTTGACGAAAAGGATGATAAAAATACCTCTCGTTCCAGTTCAAGGAACAATATAAGAAGTAATGAATTGACAAGTGGCAAAGAATTGACTGCAAGATTGGGTTCCAAAAATAAATTTCCCAGAAGAAACGAGAGTCCAGAAAATTTGACAGAACTTAGAAAAAATGAAAGTTCGAAACGATCTGAAATCCTGGAGAACCATTTATTGACTACCTTATCCAGTGAGAATGACTCTGATGAACCGAGTAGTAGATGCAGGACTTTAAATACAAGTCATTCAAGAAGAAGAAAACGAAAAAGTTCTAGAGATAATATTTTGTACGAAGGAGAAAAAGATAATTCAAGAACATTCAGAGAACTTCCTCCAATACCAACTGGAAAAGAATCTAGTGAAAACTTGCTGAGAAGTAAATCATATTTCTTGGACCAAGAATTATCAGGAGATACATTTTGTTCTTCTCAATATGGACATTATGCAGAGCTCAAACATCAGTCATCATTTAATGATTTTAATGAAAAAGTTCCTCGTGAATTAGAATCTCGGTCTAGTGAAACCAAAAACATCACTAACAAAACCGGACAACGAGGAAAGAAGGATGAACCTGAGCAAGTATCTTTGAGTAGAGCGGACAGCAGTGCAGAAGAATCAAAAACTAGAATACCTGTAGTAGATTCTGAGCAAAATATAAGTGAAACTAATAAAAATATAGATGTGCCTGACAAAGATACTAAAAACTGTGGTTGTTCTGCAAAACATGTTTCAAAGTTTCGACTACAAGTTTCTGTGGGTGATTTGCCTACTATTCAGAAACCATCTACTGTAACTTGTGTAAATTACACAGAGATAGATACAGTAAAACAAGCACATTCAAGTCAAAAAATAGAAAAATATTCCAAGGAGCCGTTTCCAAATGAGAACAGTGAGACTGAAAAAGAACAATCAATGGAGAGACTGGACAGTTCGGGAGAGAACAAGGAAGATGAAGAGCGATCTTCTTCTCCCTATGACAATGTCGAAGCATTTTGTTTTAAGCCTGTTTTTGAGAGTTATAAAGAAACTTCTAAAAGAGACTCTGGATTTTCCGAAATTGCACAATGTAGTGACTCTCCTTACGACAATATTTGCACAGATTCATCTCCTTTATTTACTTTTCATCCAATTGAAATGCCCGAAAAAGCACATAAACAACAACTATTCCAAGCTGAAAAGAAGAGTAAATCTGAAGACCAAAACTCAGTATTAACACCAGAAGATGATACAAAAATAAACTCAAACTTATCAAAATGTACCAAGAATGCTTATTTGTCAAAGTTTATTAGCGAATGCAAGGATATTGATTATTTACTGAATGACGTCAAAGGAGAAGATCCGGAAACATTTGAAGAATTTGAAAATAAATTTAAACACGAAAATATGATTAGTGCTACTTCGACAATATCACAGGAAGAACATGAAAACGATGAATACAACAACGTACGCTCAAAAGAAAAGAGTGTTAGTGCTGAAGCGCAACAAAATCTGACTCTGTTTATTGGACAGTGCCAGGATATTGACGAAATGCTTGGTCCACTGTCTACTTTTGTTCCTTATGGATTAGCTAGCCCTACAGAGCCATTTAGTGCCAAGTGGCATGATCAAATAGAAACTCCTTTAACCCAGAAGAAGACAGAAGAGGACAGTTACGATTCTTTAGAAGAAGAAAAGGAAAATGACCTCTTAGAAGAAGTTGGACCTTCTGCAGTGAGGGTGCATGAATCAGAAGCTCAACAGCCTCAGCTAGATTCATACACAGAAGAAATAGATTACAGTGCTGTTAGAATTCGAGAAAATAGAGCCATGAATACGGAGATTACAGAATACACAGAAGAAATAGACTCTGGAATAAATACAGCTGGCCAGCCACAACTTCTACATGGAGACATTTCCAAAAATATAAAATATTGGGTAAGTGATACATTTATAGTGGCCTATAACAAGATACAAGAAATGACTATGTATGTAAATCTTTTCAGACAATTGGGCCTTGTTGTCTGAAATATTACCCTTTACATATAAAAATTAATATAACTGTTATATATTCATACTTTACGAATATATAAGCTTAAGTTATACAATAATAATAATTTTCAACAGAAACAGTAAAAATACACATATAGCTAAACGGAGTTATTTGTTAAACATTTAGTTTTTAATGGGATATTTTTACTAACGGAATCTCTTGTGGTTTAATATATTGTACAATATGCACCAATATAGAAAATAATTCAAAATAACCTTACTTTTTGTATGTTATATTCTAAAAGTTCATATTTTAGTTAGAGTACCAGAAAGTCTTAGATTTGCTTCCAGAATAAACTGGTCATAAAAATGTAAGTGACACAAATTTTATTTTTATCGAAGAACCATGTATTCAAGGAATTATTTTAATTTTTGTTAATTATATTACTTTAATATATTGTTGCGTATCTGCTTGTTTGTTAATTTCCGGTATAAATTATTTCCGAGGAACTTCAACGATACATGTCCCTTCTTGATTAAAACTAATTTATTCTTTCTCGATACAACTTTGTAATACACAGTAATTTCACAATCAATACGTTTCTCGTCTCTTTACTTAACAGCCTTTATAATACACGCTATAAATCACAGTGATTCACACACTTTACTTGCAATGCCTACTGTTCGCTT